GTTTTTAAGGACTGGATCCACAGAGTTGGCCACATAGGATCCCGACACCTTAACCACCATGCTACTGGTTGACTCCACATCTTTAACATTTCTATTTTAAATGAAACCCACACTTTTCTTTTCCAGCCTCCTATGCAGCTAAAAGTAACCTCATGACTCCATTCTGGCCAATTAGACTGGAGTGAAGTCTTGGAGTGATGGTTGGACTAGTCTACAGAAATAATTCTCTCTCCCTCTGTGCTGTCTCCACCCATCTTGTTTTTGATTACCGCCATGACACTGGAGCTATGACAGCCATCTTATGAGTATCGTGAAGAAGCAGGACAGCTTGCCAAGGATGGTTAAGAGAAAGGATGGAAGTCTTTTTATGATGACCTCATGGGGCAGCTAAACTAACATCAGCCAACCCTTCCTCCTTAATTCTGCTTATGTGAGAAAAGTAACCCCTACTTATTTAAGCCACAGCTAGTCATGTTTTCTAATATTTAGAAAAAAAAAACATTCCTAACTCAGCCATAAGCGGTGTCTGACCAAATGAGCCAGTTTTCCTTCAAAGAAGATGGATATGTTCAAATCAAAGTACATGAGGCTGTGAATCTGGCAAATCATCTGGCCCCTAATGCTTTTCTCATGTGTGTCCTATGTTTCTCAGGGCCCTCAAACCTATATGTCTTCAAGCAAGCTCTTAGATATAATAAAGTAGTTACTGGAGCATCAATACAAGCTGCATCATCATTAGGACAAGTTAGTATGAGTAGCACTTCTCTCTGAGACATGTGTATTTATATATTCATTTTATTTTCCTTTTTTTTAATTGCCAGAGGGTACATGTGCTAAAAAGAAAGAAAGAAGATGTACAGAGAAAGAAACAGAGGAGAGAGAGGGGAGAGAGAGGAAGGGGGGGGGAGAGAACCACCCAGCAGGGCATGATCATGCTATAATCCTCTATTCCTCCTTCCTGCCAAGATTTTCGGCATGCATACTCAAATACATGGCATGATTTTCAAGCCATCAGGGCTTGAATCGAAAACATGATCAGCCATGTAGGATCTGGCTACTGGACTGGCCCACTTTATATACTCATCGTCCTTTTTAAGGGTTCAAAGTGCTCTTTTCTCTCATTAAGATACTCCATCTGCCTTTGAGGAAAGAGAGGAAAAAAAATATATATTTTTGCTATAGGGCACGGGCGCTCACCAGACAGAGAGACAGAGATACAGAAAGCCAGAAATCACCCCTGAGGGGGGATGGCCACGCCGCAATCCCTTCTCCTTCATTCTCCTCTCAGGTTCTTGGGCACACACGCAAACGCGCCCAGCATGAGTTTAAGCCTCTGGGTCTGGGACTTGAACCGCAGTTGACTACATGGGAGTCCAGCAACATAGCCATTACACCAACTGCTGGTCCCATGAGAGGAAAATATTTAGGAGTAAGAAAAGTATAAAATTTTGTGGAATAGGCAAACCTGGTCCTCTGAACTATAAACTTCTAACATCTAACCTAGTTTTCTATGAATGATGGCTGCTTTAAATCATACCCTGTCTTTTATTGAGATAGACCTTAGATGACTAAGGATCTTAGATGACTGTTGGAGAAGGCGATGCAGAGATTCTAAGCTGCATTGACTAGGGCCTTGAAGTGAGTTGGACCAAAGAGTCTCCTAAGGCCCATTTCTCAGTGGAGACATGTCTCTGTTGCCACTAATTTTCTTTATGTGAATGTAGATTTCTTTGATCATGGTCCTGATTACTGAATACTTGTACCAAATAACCTGTTGGGCAGAGGGCATGGTAACTTTGGGGGAAGGAAACCAAGAGTTCTGTCAGAGCTCTTTTCATAGGAGAAGAAAACCTATAGATACTACTACAGAGATTTCTTTAAGGTTGTTCAGATTAATTAGGATTCTATGTGAGTCTCTGCAGGCTCAACTGCTCTTCTGTGCTCAGTGGTAGAACGGAAACATCATCTATATCAGCAGGTGTGGTTAGAAGGAGATGCCATGGGATTCTAGTTTGGAAAAGTGACACTGTCCATCTTCTACATCAGTATCTACAGAGTTTTTCCAATATGGTCCAACCAGGGTCCTGTAAGCAATCACAAATGAATACCAGTCCTTCTGAGAGGCTTTGTTACAGACACCAAAAGAATGTTTTTATTTTGAAGGGACTAACATGTTCATTAAGGGACCAGCAGATGCATAATTGCTGGACCCCCACATAGTTGACTGAGGTTCGAGTCCCAGACCCAGTGATTTGAAACTCACACCAGGCACGAATGTGTGTATGCCCAAAATCCTGAGAGGAGAATGGAGGAGAAGGGATTGTGGTGTGGCCATTCTCTCTGGAGGGTGATTTCTCTCTTTCTGTCTCTCTCTAGCTCTCTGGCAAGTGCAGAGCCCTATAGCAAAAATCTCTATTTAAAAAAATAATGTTCATTAGAGTGAAAGTCCTTCGTCTGCATTTCTTTCTCCTTCTTTCTTCTTTCTTTTCTTTCTTTCTTTCTTTCTTTCTTTCTTTCTTTCTTTCTTTCTTTCTTTCTTTCTTTCTTTCTTTCTTTCTTTCTTTCTCTTTCTTTCTTTCTTCCTTCTTTCTTTCTTTCTTTCGAGAGGTTTTTGCTATAGGGCGTGTGTGCTCGCCAAAAAGACAGAGAGAGTCAGAGAGACAGAAAGTGAGAAATCACCCCCCGGGGGATGGCCATGCTGCAATTCTTTCTTTTCCATTTTCCTCTCGGGATATTGGGCACCATGCACATGCGCCCATCATGAGTTTAAACCACCGGGTTTGGGACTCGAACTGCGGTCGACTACATGGGAGTCCAGTTACATGGCCATTACACTAACTGCTGGTCCCTGCATTTCTTTCTGATATTCACCCTTCTGGAGGACTTAAGAATCCTTGTGGGCTGGCCCCATAGCACAATGGCACAGTGGTTCAGTATTGGAATCAGGTCCTATATGGCCAACTGTGGTTCAGTCTAGAGGCTTGAAAATTATGCTGAGAATGTGTGCATCCATGTCCCAAATTTGACAGGGCAGAGAAATGGAGAAAAAGAGATTGAGGCATGACCATGCACCATCAGGAATGGGTACTTTTTCTCTCTGGCAAGTGCACATGCCCTCTGGCAAGAAAAACAAAACCTTGTAATACATGGAGTTGGACAGAGACATGGTAGAGTGTGGGTGTTGGTGATGCCATGAATCACTGATCAATCCTTATGGATTTACAGCACCTCAAGTGCCTCGTTCTTGAGTAGAAGTACTACATGCTTATAACTCTTCCTCACTCTAATTATAACTGGATGTAAAGTAATAAATAGTTCACCCTTTTTTCCCTCACCCTCAAAAGTCTTCCTGTAACCACGTATACAGACACACCTGGTACAAGCAGGAACTGCCCATATAATGCATATAGTATGGAACAGATTCATTAATCATTCATACGTCGAATGTAAGAGGACTTCAAAAATGTCCATGGAAAAATGTGATTAAAGTATGAGCTTATTTTGGTGCAACAAATAATTGAAATTTGTGCATTTTTTTCATAATACACATCCTTTATTATATTTAGCATGTAATGTGCTAGGTGGTGTGTTTGGACTACAGAAAAAGAACAGACATAACTTATGACTTTGAGGATGAATTAACCTAAACTGGTTGACACAAAAATAAAAATAATTATAAGACCCTTCACCATGAGGATTGCCCTAACTGGAAAGCATAAATACATAGTTTTCTCCCTAAGTATTCCTTAGTCTTTAGCTCTATCTCAATCAGTTCTTTTCTTCTTTTCTTTTTCATTCTCTATTTTCTTTACTTTGTACTTTTACATTTCCCCCGTGAGGTCATAAGTCTAATTTTGGTTCTCAGCCATCCTATAATATGGGTACTCGCCTAGACAGTCTATATTCAAGGCTTTGGCTCTCCTGTGCTATGTCATACTTAATTAACTGTCACCTTCACTATTAATATTAACTGAGATATTAATTTGACGAATCTTAATTTCTCTTAATCATAGCATTATTTTGATCCTTCTTTGGATACCTCTTTAGAATGACACTGAGTGCAGAGGAGAAATATTAATAGCATATTAAGGTTTTTTAAAAAAGCTCTTTAGCAATGAGATGTTTTCCGAGTAAGAATATCTGTTTCTTGAACAGATGTAGGCTCCCTGATTTTCTTGTTAGCAAATGGATGTTTTGTCTTGATCACCTCCTGACTCTGTTTTGCTTTTAAATGAAAATACTTTCAAATTTAAGAACTGTTTCTCTCCAAAAGAATTCTCCTGGGTCTGGTGCTTTTTCTGACTGGCAAAGGCTTTGTGCTATTAATGGAGGTGTGGAAAACATACATTTGAAGGTTCAGTCTGTCCTTTGGTAGCAGTCTATGGAGACGCAGTACCAGGGAGAAAAGAGCCAAGATGGAGGGAGGCTGAACCAGCAAAAGAAATCTGACCTATTTGCAGACCACTTCTATCTTTTTTTCTTACTCATTCAAAAAAATATTTTGGATTTTAATTTCTCACATTTTCTTTTCTTTTCTTTCTTTTTTCTTTTCTTCCTTTCTCAATCATCAGAGAACATGAATGCTCATCAGAGAGAGAGAGAGAGAGAGAGAGAGAGAGAGAGAGAACCCCTCAGTGAGGGGTGGTCACACTGCAATGTTTTTCTTCCATTTCTCCTTCCCATTAGGATTTAAGTGTATGTGCACACACGTCCAGTGTGTTTTTCAAACCTCTGGGGCCAGGATTTGAATCACGGTTGTCCATGCAAGATCCAGTTCCCTGTGTTCAGAGCTTAACCACTATATTACATGCTTACTTGATTTCTGTTTTTTTCTATAATTAATTCTCCTTTGCCCCACATCCCTCCTGCACACCCTCCCTCCCATATTCATTGAATACTGATGAAGGTGCCTTATTCAATCCCCACATTACTTCAGGGGCTATTTTGAACCTGAAGATTAGGAGCTCAGGAAAGACGGAGACAAGCACAGTCGCACTCACCTCCAGGTACACCACCCAGGGCATCACCAAGGTGGCCACCAGCAAGTCTGCCACAGCCAGGCTCACCACTAGGTAGTTGGTAGTAGTCTGCAGGGCTTTCTCTCGCAGCACGGCCACACACACCAGGCCGTTGCCAAAGACGATGGCCAGGATCAGCGCACAGTAGGACAGGGCATAGTAGGCATGTGGGCGGGCCAGGCTGGCACCTGTGAAGTTGTCCGGCCCACAGGTGGAGTTGATGTCATCACTCAGCAGGCTTAGTGGTGCCATAGTCCAGAGGGAGAAGCGTGGCCCAAAGGGTTTCTGGGAGGAGACAGAGATAACGTTGTAAAATTTATTGCATTAACACATATGTATTGAGCACTTCTTACATGTCAGGCAGAGATACAGCAATGAACAAAACAGATAAAATTTTCTCTTTGTAGGTCCACTCTGTAGCGGAGAGTAAGCCCTGTGCAAAGGGAGATGAATTCCACATTCTGACCAGGGTTAGAGTACCAGCTTTGGTTGCTTGGAAAACACACCAGGCACGTGAGTGCATGCCTAAAATCTTTACAGGAAGGAGGGATGGAGGAAAAGAGGGTTGTGGCATGATCAAGTCCCATTTGGAGTACTTTTTCTCGATCGCTGTTGAGTGCACAAGCATACATGCCCTCTGGCAATTAAAAAAATCCCTTCTCTTAGGAAGCTTTCATTCTGGAGTAGAAGACAGATAAACAAAATAAATGAAAGATATGGTATAGTCAATGATGCTATGTATTTTGGAGAAAAATAAATTGGGAAAACTGCTGAGGAGTGGGTGAGGATGGTATATATGTGAGTGGGTGACAGAGCACAATTTTATTTTTAAAATTTCTTTTATTTCTTCCATGAGAGATGGAAAG